TAAGCAAAAGCTTCACATTTTTTGGGAAAAAGTAAAATTCCTTTGATTTCTCAAATTAGTGGACATAAAAATAAATATGCTTTGACGTTTTGTTTGCTAGTTAATATTCTTTTGGTGTGTGGTTTTATTGCTTTTTTGTTTTTGCTAAACAAAAGTTTTTTTTTTTTTTAAATATAAAAAATAGTTTTCTTATGGTGTCCTGCATTAAAAGTGTCCTGGTTTGAGGAGTAAAAGAGACTCAATTTATAGTTTCGAACCTAAAAATGGTTTTTATGTATCATTTAAAGATAAATGTGACTTGATGCACGAGAAATGGATTTTGATTTCTTGGGGCAATGTAAATCTGCTCTGGCCCCTCGTGTTGTTCCAATTTTTGGAAAGACAAGCGTTGAGCTTTTGATTCAAGAGAAATGTGTTTCTGTGTGGCTGTAAAAGTTGAAGACATTGTGATGACCCCACTTCTGATATGGTAATTTGCTTTCCTAATATATGATGAAACTTGTATGCTCGATTGTGGGAATTGTCATGTTCAGTTTATGTAAGATATATGAGATATGTTTTGAAGGTTTTAATTTCGTAATCTTTTGGCACGAAAGTGTATCATTCGATGTCCCATATTCAGAAAGTAAAAGGCCTCGATTAATTTTTTTGAAAGCGAGTGTGTTTACTTATTTTTTCAAACAAATTTGTTTGTTGGTGCCTGAGCAAATGTTCCTCAATTTTTTGGAGCAATGTAAGATTTTGCCGGTCCCTTAGATAGTTCTATCTTGAAAAAAATGTGCCTTCTTTTAACCGGAAGTAATTGTTCTTTGGCATGTTGGTTTAAAGTTTCTCAATTTTTTGTTTTAAAGATAAATCTATAGGTGTCCCATATGAAAAGTATACCAGTTGGAAAAGCAAGTGGGTCTCAAGTAATTTTTTAGAGATTGAAAGCGTGTTGTATCTAATATTTAAAAGATAAATGTGCCTTGGTGTAAAATAAAATTATTTTGGATTTCCTGCAGCAAGGTAAAACTTTTTGATGCCTTGGGTTGGCTGAACTCTAAAAGTTGTGGTTTGGACTTTTGATTCAAAGTAAATATTTTTCAGAATATGTTGGTTGAAAGTAAAAGTTAATTTGATGACACCCATTCTCTTGGAGAGTTGGCGACCTTTCTCTTATAGAGCTTGCAGGATGCTTTCTCAGTCATTTACTACTACAGACAAAAGACATGAATGTTTAGTTATAAGAATTTTTCATTTTATTTGAGATAGGTTGCCGTTCTTGATTTTGAAGCCAATTTAATAAACTCGATATGTTTTCGTTCCTTAGTAAAAGTGCCTAAATTCACTGTTTTGCAAATGAGAGTGTATTGGTTTATTGTTTCAAAATAAATGTACTTTGATGTCTAGGTAATGGTTTTTAAATTTCTTGGAAAAAAGTAAAGTTCCTCCGATTGCCAGGGTAGTTGGAACTCAGAAAAAAAATATGCATGGATGTATTTTGGTTGCAATTAACTATTTTTGGGTATGTTGTTTCAGAGTTTACTTGTTGTTTTTGTTTAGCAATAATTGCTCATGGTGTCCCATATGGAATGTGTCCAGGTTTGGAAAGTAAGAGAGTCTCGATTTATTATTTTGGAGCATAAAAGTGTGTTTTGTCTAATACTTAAAATAAATTATCTTGACGGATAAGAATTTCTTTTTTGATTTTTTTGAGGCAATTTAAATCTTCTCCGTTCGAGTCCTAATTCTAAAAGGATGTGCTTTGAGCTTTTGATTCAACGAAAACATGTTTCTGTATGTGGTTTTGGAATTAGGAGCTAATTTGGTGGCATAATTCCTCTTAAAGGTTTGACAATCTGAAAGTGAAAGTTATTATGTTTACACTATTGCTTTTGGAGATTTGGATGTCCACTCTCCTAATCCATTAGGCCACGGGCTAAAGATGTGTAGGTTTGGACAGTGTATGTGAGAACTTTTGCTGTTTGTTTCTTTCATATCTTATCACCACAAACTACAAACTAGTATGTGTTACTTTTACGAGAAAGATTGTTTTTCTTCTCTCTATTGCATCCTATATATTAAGTGACACAATGAAGGCATTGAGACTTGGTGGAAAATGATGTCATCTTGGTCACTGATTCCACATGTTTCTATCAGAAATTTTTTTTGGCCCTTCTAGAATTTTATGTTTAATGATATGAGCAAGTAAAAGTGTCACGATCATCTAAGTTTCGAAATAAAAGTGCCTTTTGCCTCTTAGGCTCAAAGTATATGCAGCTTACGTTTGTGTATCTACATAGGTATGCCGTTATCTTTTTTTCTTGGTTCACTGGTAGGTTATACCAAAAATTCTAATTCTTGAAATTGGTTGAGCTACAGTATATGTATGTCCGGGCTACAACGAAGAGTGTGGTTGAGTTATCACTACTTGGAACATACAACTTTGCACCAAACTTCAACAGTGTGAGTCGATCTCTTAGACTTACACGTTTTACTTATCCAAGTTATTTGTTTAAAATCTTTTTCTAGCAGCAATTCAAGGATTAAGATAGAGGGTAGAATATTTTACTTTAAATACTTGGAGAATAACTATATGCTGAATTTGTCTTAATTCTAATCATTGTTCTAATGTAGTTCATAAATTTACCAAGAAAAACTATTTGAAAGAACTAAACCTTTGAAGTATATTGAACCCCAAAGTATAATAATCTAACCAAACTACAAATCTTGTAAGATTTTTTTTTTTGGTTTAAGCAATATCTGTGGTTAAAAGAAATTAATAAGTACAAAGCTAGGCCTAACAGCATGAACATTATGTTGCTAACTTTTCTTTGCTGTAAGTATTTACTAGAGACTTGTTTTAATGGAAAAAATAGAGTTTCTTCCAGTTGCTAGCTACACAAACAATATGCGTTACGTGGAACGTGAGTATTTTGCTACCCCTGTATTCTCTTTGAAGAACATTTCTCTTGCCACTATTTTGTTTAAGAAATATTTTCAGTAAGAAATATTTGTAGTTATACAAAATTAATGTTTATAATATGCAAGATAGTTAAAAAGGTATAGATATCCGTATAAACTCATGTTTCCCGCTTTTCCGTGGTGCACTAAATTGGAACAAGGATCAAACCTTCCTAAGTGAGACGTACAAGTTGAAGGTTTTTGAACCCTACTTTATTTAATTTAACAGCAGAAAATAGTAGATGAGGTAATTGGGCTTCCCTTTGCAGTTGTTTTGCTAGAGACGTGTTATTGAAAGGAACAAATAAGGTTTCTTCCTGTTGCTGGTGATGCAGGTGAGCAGTGCAGCTGTGCGGATGTGTGGCATGTGAGTATCATTTTATGCCATGTACTTTCTTTAGAATGATGTTTTTGCTCTTACTGAGTTTTATAGGGTTGTTATCTTGTATTTGTATATGCACTTTGTGTATTGTTGAAACAGAAGTTTATTGCTTGAACTTCCATTTTGGTGGATTTTCGTCTTGAAAAGTAAGTCACTTAGCATGGTCCATTTTCCATGGAGTTCATAATAATCAAGTTAGCTCTTAATAAAGGGATTAATCCATGAATATCCTACAAATATTGTGCTTGACTAGGGGTTTTTTGTTGATAAATAGATCTTCATAAATGTTGGTTGTAGTGATTTTGATTTGACCCACAAATAGTCTTATTCTTTTCATCTTCGCCATTACCCCCCCTTTTTTCCTTGGAGAAGTAGCTGTCTTTGTTCTATTTGTCTTTTTGTTTACTTAAGCTTCTGTTGATTGCAATTTCTTTTTTTTTGAGATAACAAAAAAATGTTGTTCGTAATTTCTATCGTGCTTCAAATGATGGCCTAATGTACTTGTTAATTCGTACTTTTTCTGTTGCAAAATCAGGAGTTAGTATTCTGCTTCTTAGTAAATGCTTATTTATACTGTGCGACACTCTTTTTTTTTTTTTTTTTAAAGAATATACTGTGTGACGCATTTAAAAGTTCTTTCACTATAACTTGATCCTTTTCTATGTGTGTTTGATTTGTAGTGACTATATCATAGCTAAATGATATCCTTCGTACAGTTAAAGTTGGTGATTGTTAATTCAAGAGCTACCCAATATCTGGCTACACTTATAGTTATTGGTGTTGACAGCACTGCATTCTTATTCTGTCTCATAAGTTTGTTTCATTTTGAGTACTCATTTGCGCAGGAAAGAAAGACACGACTGCTAATATGTCGTTTTTTAAGAATATGCTGGTCCTTGTTAACTTTGGCTGCATTGCTTGAGTCTAAATTGTTCCTCTGTTGGCTTTATGGTAATTCCATTTTGTTTCTTCTTTTCTTTGTCCAACTTTTAAGAATTAGAATGAAAATGCTAACGGGCTTCTTCTCTCCTGATATTTTTTTGTTATCCCTTCGAAGCTGAAGTTCAACAATTTAAGAGTTCCAAACGCACTTGTTCTGGTAGGTTGCAAGAAATTCCTGCATTATACAAGTCACCACTTGTGCATTATAAGAAATGCCTGCATTATATGAAGATGTTTATTATATAGGAATCCAGAATGCTTAGTTTTGCTTGGCTAAAGAGCCCCTGGAAAGTCTCCCCGGTTCAACGCGTGCAAGGGACTGTGAGAATTTTCGAGCAGTAGCAGTTACCACCTGTGTGGAACATTCAAGTCACTACTTGCCTTTTGCCGTGGTGAGTCAACCTCTTAGACATAAATGCTTTTCTTCTTTTAGTTTTTCCTTTGAAATCTTGTTGTTGAATGGTTAAGTTAATAGAATTAATAGAACTTATTTATTACTAAAAACACCTCTTTTATGTATGTTGATTTCCGAATTTGAACTAGTATAATGGAACCTCTGATTTTCTAAGGTTTGTTTTTGTCAAAGCCAACATTTGTGGTCACAAAAAGTTGTTATTTATGATAAGCAAGATAATTACGAAGCAAGACGAAAAAGCCTTATTGTGATGTTGGTAACTTCTTCTTGCTGCATATGTTTATTAGAGTTTTTCTAGTTGCTGGATACGCAGACCATCAGGTCAGTCTGGCATGTGAGTGTTATTTTAACCTTCTACATTCTTCATCGTTGTATTTTCATTTTTGCTGAGTGTTACAAAGTATTTATCTCACCTTTGTCTCCGTTTTGATGTATATGTTGAAATGGTAATTTATTGCTTAAACTTGCATTGAGAAGTTAATTATTTACGATTGTTCATGTCAACAAAATTCATGGTATTCCCTGCAATCCTTAATCAAGGGATTGCACCAGAAATATCATATGAAATTTCTTCTGTTCTTGGGGTTTAAATTTTACTGAACAAATCATCATAAATAATAGCTGTTAACGATTTTTTTTTTAATATTTTTTTACTCGGAAACAGATTTGTTCCCCTTTCATTGTCATTCTCTTTCTTGTTACATGTTGTTTCATAGGGGCAGTTATTTTTATTCCATATTTGTCCTATTGTTGACTTAAGCTTATTTTCTTATAAATTTTTTCTGTTGCTTCAATACTGATCTAAGATCCTTGTCAATTCTTACATTTTCTATTGCAAAATCATAGCAAGAATTATAAATGGGTTCGAGTCTACAGAAGAGTCGGTTTTGTATGAAATTTAGATATATGTATTTTTTAAATTTCGTTTCTATCTAGTCATTTTTTTGTTTATTTTTTCTAAACTCGGTGGACGTATGTGTTCGAGCCGAGTTTCTCATAAATTTTTACTAGCTCCACCCGAGTTAAATTTTAATAAATATAGAAATGGAAATAACCAGTAAGGAAGCTAATGCTTTTCAACAAGAATCAAATTAGTCCACTCCTCTACTCGTCATCGTCTTTGATGGGGACCCATTGCTCTCTGTTTCTGTTCCATTTCACGTGTCGTTCACAGTTCTGTCATCTGTTATTGTACTATCATTTCGATATTAGTTAATTTGTTGTGTGACATTCATGGGACTTCTTTCGATATAACTTGATCTTTTTTCTTGTCTCGTTGATTTACAGGGACTATATCCTGGCAGTATTATAGTCTTCGTTCAATCAGCGTATAGTTTGCTTGTTCCAGAGGTATGCAATATCTATCTGCACATATACCTCGTAGTGCTGGAGTCAAGTAATACGATGCACTTATTTTCTCTCATACTTTTTTGTCATATTTGAGCAATCATTTGCGAGTGGCAGCAAACAACGTCCCGAAATATGGCAGGTTTTTAGAAATTGATGGTTCTTATTAACTTTGCCAACAAAGTTTTGGTTCTGAAAATGTTTTTATGTTGGTTTTCAAGTGATCCTCTTTTGTTTCACTCCCTTTCAACCATCCATTTTTGTAAGATCTCAGAGAGGAAGTCTTCAAGGGTTCCTTGTCGCCCTAGATTTTTTATTGTCCTTTTAAAGCTGAAGTTCACCATTTTTGGCCTTTCTAACACTTTTATTGTAGTAAGAGAAGGTGTTTTAATGAGGCATGAGAGAGTTGCCTCATTCAAGGGTGTCTATTTTGTGGGAACCATGTCCCCGAAATCTTAATCCTGCTTGGTTACATAGTCCCTGCAAAGTAATTCCATCCAAAGTGCACAAAGAAACATAGTTCCCATGTTGGAAGCTAATCATGGTCTAACATTAATGTTCTTTGGTCTTTTGGTCATGAGACTAAAGAGAAACTGGCTCGCTTTCCATGAACTAAATTAATGTGGATGTGTCAACATGTTCCTTGATCACTTGACTTGAAATAATCATTTTTCAGTTTTTGGTGTAATGTTTTTTATGTTTTAGTTAAAATATAATTATGTTAAGATGTTCAAAGATTATCCTGATGACACCCTTTTCTCTTGTAGATTTGGGCCATTTTCTTTCTAATATGTGATAACCACAAATAGAAAAGATATGTGCTCGGTTATGGGAACTGACAAATTCAATTTATATGAGAAAGGTTGTCAATACGTGTTTCAAGGCTTCATTTAATGTCGGTGCATTAACGAAATTGTTTGGGTCTGTCAGGTTTAATCGATTCCATATTAACAAGCTTTATATCCCAAAATAGAGTTGCCTCGGATTATCACTCTGAAAGTTTGAGTTTTGATATTTTTGAATAGACTTATGTCCTTTTATGTCCTATCTTTCAGTATCTAGGTCTAAAAGGTAAAATGCCTAAATCTTTTTTTTCCTTTTCTTTAGGCAATTTTCTTATTTCATTTATTACTCAAAAAATAAAAGAGCTTCAACACAAAGAAAAATAATTTTTGATTTATTTCGACAAAATTGAACTACTTTGGTCTCCTTAGATTCTTCCGACTTTAGGAAAATATGGCTTGACATTTTGATCCAAAGTAAATATGTCTCAATATATCGGTTTGATAGAAAAGTTATTGTGATGACACTTTCTCTTGAGGAGTCAGCAACCTTTCTCATGGAGAGTTGACAAATTATCGCGGACAAAAAATGTAAATGCTTGGTTATCAGGATATTCATCTTATGTAAGAAAAGTTGTTGTTCTTCATTTTAAAACCACATCAGATAACTAGATTTGTTTTTGTTCGCTCGTAAAAGTGCCGTAGTTTATTTTATCGAAAGTGATAGGAAATTGATTCATTGTTTCAAAAGAAATTTGTGTCCCTGTTTAAGGAAAGGGTTTTCGATTTCTCTGGAGAGTAGAATTTCTTGTATCCGTCTCGTGGTTTTAACCTAAAAAAAATGTGGCTGAATCTTTTGACTGCAAGTAAATATTTTTTGGTATTGTTTTAAGTTTCTTGCTTCTTTCGGTAGAAAGTGATTTTTTATGGTGTCCCTGTTTGTAAGGTAAGAAAGCAAGTAAATATGTCTTGATATATTAGTTTGAAAGAAAAAGATACTTTGATGATGCACTTTAAAGGTTGGCAAACTTTCTCACATAGAACTGATAAATTTGCGTGAGCATAAAACATGGATGCTTGGTTATCAGGATATTCATCTTATATGAGAAAGGTTGTTGTTCTTCATTTTGAAGTCATATTCATCTTATGTAAGAAACGTTGTCGTTCTTCATTTTGAAGTCATTTCAGGTAATAAGATTTGCTTTTGTTCGTTGGTAAAAGTGCTTTAATTTATTTAATTGATAGTGAGAGAAAATTGATTTATTGTTTCAAACTAAATTTGCGCCCGTGTTTAAGGAGAAAGTAGAATTCGTTGTGTTCGTCTGATAGTTTGAACTTAAAAAAAATGTCTGGATCTTCTGACTGCAAGTAAATGTGTTTTGGTATCGTTTTAAGTTTCTTGCTTCTTTCCTTAGAAAATATTGATCTTATGTGAGAAAGGTTGTTGTTCTTCATTTCGAAGTCATTTTAGGTAATAAGATTTGCTTTTGTTCGTTGGTAAAAGTGCCTTAATTTATTTAATTGATAGTGAGAGAAAATTGATTTATTGTTTCAAACTAAATTTGCGCCCGTGTTTAAGGAGAAAGTAGAATTCGTTGTGTTTGTCTGATAGTTTGAACTTAAAAAAAATGTCTGGATCTTCTGACTGCAAGTAAATGTGTTTTGGTATCGTTTTAAGTTTCTTGCTTCATTCCTTAAAAAATAACTTTTTATGGTGTCCCAGTTTGGAAGGTAAGAAAATAAGTAAATATGTCCTGATATATCAGTTTAAAAGAAAAAGTTATTTTGATGATGCACTTTCTCTTGAAGAGTTGGCAGACTTTCTCGCATAGAGCTGAAAAATTATTGGAATATAAAACATTGATGTTTGGTTATCGGGATATTCATCTTATGTGAGAAAAGTTGTTCTTCATTTTGAAGCCATCAAGTAACTAGATTTGCTTTTGTTTGTCGGTAAAAATTCCTTAATTTATTTTATTGAAAGCGAGAGGAAATTGATTTATTGTTTCAAAATAAATTTGCGTCCTTGTTTAAGGAAAAGTTTTTTGATTTCTTCGGAGAAAGTAGAATTTTTTGTGTTCATTCGATAGTTTGAGCTTAAAAAAAAATGTGCATGGATCTTCTGACTGCAAGTAAATATGTTTTGGCATCTTTTTAAGTTTCTTGATTCTTTCCTTCAAAAATAATTTTATACGGTGTCCCGGTTTGAAAGGTAAGAAAGGAAGTAAATATATTCCGATATATCAGTTTGTAAGAAAAAGTTACTTTGATGACGCACTTTCTCTTAAAGAGTTGACAAACTTTCTTACATAAAGCTGAAAAATTGGCGCAGACATAAAACATGGATGCTTGGTTGTTGGGATATTTATCGTATATGAGAAAAGTTGTCATTCTTCATTTAGAAGCAACATCAAGTAAATATGTTTTGGTATCTTTTTAAGTTTCTTCCTTAAAAAATAATTTTTTATGGTGTCCTGGTTTGGAAGGTAAGAAAAGAAGTAAATATGTC